AGGGCCTGCGGCTGGGCGGAGAGGTGCCTCTGCAGGGGGATCAGCTCGGACGAGCGCCCGAAGCGGCCTCTGACGGCCTATTTCCGCTTCCTGAAGGAAAACCATTCTGCTTTTAGGCAAAAAAATCCAGGTACGCTTCCCGAAGGAAAATCCGCTCCCCGAAAGAAAATCGTTCTGCTTTTAGGCAGAATAATAATAGTGGAATGATCCAGGTATGCGGCCTGAAGGGAACGAGGGGACCCCGGTTGGCTTTGCTCGTGCTTTTAGAACTACAAAGTCTTAACGCTTCAAAAAGCTGCCACCGCTTTTGCTGCCTACGGTGTTTTCCCTCCAAAACGCGTGATGTAAAAATAAAGCTGAGAGAAAGCGCTGTTTGGTAAAATAAACGTCATAAAGTCCATCACCCCCATTTCAGGTAGCCCAAACCCGCCCTGTTATCCGTTAGCAAACCAAAGGTAAATTCAGTATTGTCGTACTCGCTGTCTGTACACCTATTAGCTCAGTCTGCTATGCTTAATAACTCAAAAAAGGAAACGTTTGTATGTAACTTTAAAAAAGTTTGAAGAAAAAAGCTCACCTGGGCAATACATGTTAGCAATGATTTGTGTTTTTCTGTCACTTTTAAGTCTGTGTGCATTTGAGGTACGCTGTTATTGATATAACGAGCTGTATATGATTTTATTTTGATGCTTAGTAATTTAAAAACTACACACACTGGACTGCCTTGATGTATATGTGGGAAAAAGTAAACGTGTTTGGAGGAAAATGGTTTTCTGTGAATATGCGTAATTTACTATTCAATTTACCGTTACCATAAAAAACTTCATTTATGGGCAATATTGTCACTCCTGTTGTCAGAGAGCAGCAAAGCGGAAAGCTGTGCTGATTTGGAAAATACTAGTGAAGTGATTGTTAAAATGTTTAAAGAACTATGTTCACATTAGGCTAGTCGTGAGTTAAATTTAAGTAAAGAAAACCACTGGATACCCTGTTTTGCTTGGTAGTTTGAGAGTTCAACAGTCTGAAAGGTTGAGAACTGCACTTGCAGAGCTTATTGTAGGTACCTGCCATAGCAGTCATTTCTACATGTTTCCAAAACTTGAATAATCTGCAAATATATCTATATATATACGATATCTCATGGGCAAATAGAGAATTTTGGGCTTTCTTGTTCCAATAGAGGTACTGTTCAAAAATAACCTCATTATTTATTTGTTTTCTTTTATCCGTGGGCAAAGCATCATATTTTCAGAGGTTTCAGATTGGCATACTTGGACTAAAAACTCCCTGTCTGTCTTGTTTTTCCAGAATTCTGGAAGTCAGGTTACTGATAAGAGCTTAGTTCTGCTTTTCCACGATTGAGATGGCTGGACTTTACTTTTGAGGTGGGAGAGAGGAAGATCATTTTTTTCTTTTAGTGTGAAGGAGAGGGAAAGCCTGTGAAGGATTTTTCAAGAGGAGAAAAGCTTATATCCTCTTTCCACCACCCTTGGGCTCTTTATTTATTTTTTATTATTATTACTTTTTTTTCCCCCCTTCAGAAATGCATGTCTGGCTGGAAACCTCATTGAATGACCATAGCACAAGGGCCAGAGTTAAAGACAGTCAGCTGAAAACCATAACAAATTCAAGTCACTGTAATTTTGTTTGTGAGAGAAAGAACTTAGTTTTTCTTTAACCTTACTTCTGTTGAATAATATTGTAAATAAAGGACTTAATTTTCGTAAGTATCAAGCCTGTCTGCTATATCAGGTGGATAAGGTCACATTGTACTTGCTTTGAAGAATTCAGCAGGCTCTTTTTGCCAAAAAAATGAGAGCTGGAACTTTTACTTTGGGTTTCTTCCCCAGTCCCCCTTCCAAGTTCAGCCCATCTTGCATTGTATAAAAAAGGATCAAGCTCAAAAGAAAAAAAAGAAACTGTTTTAATAGCTTTTTGTTTTGAGATGATGCTTCCGTTTATAACTGCACGTTTCATTCAAGTTTGAACCAAGAGCAGGGACTCTCCCCCCCTCCCCAAATATTACAGTTCCCTTTAACTGCCACACTAAGTTAATCAGTTTTAAGAAATGAGGAAAATATATTTGTACAGGGAAAAGATACTAGTGACAGCCTTCCTTGGGAAAAATTGAAGATGTTTACTGGAGATACAATATTGATCTTTATTTTCTTGCTTTCAAATTGCAATGTACAGAAATGAGTAACATGGAGCTGGTTAAAAAACTAGCAGGTGCTTGGAAGGAGTTACCAGCATCACAGAAGCAGGTAAGTTTGTATCTTTGCCCTGTGTGCTTTGAACTCTATAAAGTCTTAGTGGTTGTTTTACTTGGTTTGGTGTCCTCTGCTTTTTGTTTTCTGTTGTGTTTTTTTTTTCTTGGTTGTTTTTTTTAAACAACAATAAAAAAGTGCTTGCATACAAAGGCTTACACATAAAAACAATTCTGAAGAGAATTGAGAGCTCTAAAGTACTCAGGGGAAGATACTTTGATATTTCTACACATTACCTTATTTTTAGTATTTTTAATCTGTTGCCAGAGAAACAAAAGAGAGCGCTCTCTGTGCAGCTGTAGGGCTGGGAACCAATATCTCATTTCTTTTTGAACGGTAATTTGTTTATGTGTGTGCATTGCATGTATGGTAACGGAAGTATTGTAAAGTTGTGCTTTTGTATGCATAAGGGAGGTGAAACCTCAGTTAATTTTGATGAAAGGACGAACTTTTTTTTCTGCTGATTAGATAGTAACCAGAGACCTAACTTAGAAGTAACTCTCTGTAAGTTTCTTGTAAGAAACTTATTTTTTGTCCTAAGTAGTGAAGTTTCTTTTGGAGTGGCAGTTTCAAGGGATAATGTAAAACAAGTTGATGAATTTCTAATCATTGCTGAATATAAGTGCCATTTATAGCAAAGTAATAATTGTTCTTCCTTGATTGCAGTTAGCAGTTAAATTCAGTTAGGAACCACCTGCAGTTTTCTAGCTGAAGTACTGTCTTTGTTCAGTAGAATTGAAGTGCTCTTATGTCCTTTCTGGACTTCGGGCTCTATGTGCCTTAATATAAAATCCACCTTTTCATTTGTGTATCTGAAATGGAGAACAGGATGGTGATTTTTCACATCTGCCCGGATGCTTGATGCCCTGGTACCAAGGCCGTGATTTTATGATGCTCCTGTACCTGGTATTGGCTGGTGAGGGAATGCGTTTGGTGACTGGAGCACTGGTGTGCTGCAGTGGGTATACACACTCTTAATAATCATTTCAACCAACCTTCAGCTTTTACTTCTTGTATGGAAGATTGTTACTGCTTTGAGCTGCATCTGAAGGGTCATCTGATGTTATCAGATTAACTGAGATAATTCATGGGAAGAGCCCAGGTTTTGAATCTGAGTTCTTCTGAATCCATTCTGCTAATCAAACAGATCTGAAATCGATGCTTTACTTTAAAAATGTTATGTACCAGGATAGTCTGTAATTTTTTTTAATAGCAGGTTAGAAGTGTTAGCTTTTTTAATGGTCGGGCACTTCAGGTTGAAAGCATCTGCTTAAGGCGGGTGATTGTTTGCTTTGTAGGTTTATGAGGAAGCTAGAAAGACAGATTGGCAAAGATACTCAGAGCAGTTGGCCGCATACAAAGCAAAGCTAACTCCAGCCCAGGCTGCGGCTTTGAAAGAAGAAAGGAGAAAACGACTGGCAAAAAGAAGATCATTCAGGGCAAAAAGAGTAAGTATTTTGAAACTCAAGTTTCTTTCCTTCAAGGAACCTGAAGTCTAGTTGTACAGAGTAGAGTGGAGGCATGTTTAGAGATACAAAAGCAACTCTCAGCTTAAAAAAAAAAACAAACCAAAACAAAACAAACCTCAAACCCAAAACAAAACCCACCCCCACCGACGGACTAAAATAATTGCTGGTGTTAGCAGTTATTTTAGTGGCTTTCCTGTGCTTGAAGACCAGAACTAGCACATACCTGTGTGCTCACAGGTAGCTTCTCTATGCTTTCTTCTTCCTATTCCTAAAGCTGCCTGAGGAATGATAGGTAATGTAAGACATTTGAACCAGCAACACTTCCTTTGGTTGGGAAGACAACCAGAAATAGCTTTTCTCAAAGGCTTTGTATCTGTTACTTCACTGGCCCTTACAAGGTAGTAGCTGCTTGAAGTAGCCTTTTCTCCTTCCTTCCTTTGGATTCTGCCACTTTGCTGCCCATGTTAGCTGCTGACATGTTGAATCAGGCCTGCAAGAGGCACATCTGTCAGTGTCTTTATTGACTTATTCCTGCAGATCATGTTCCCTATTCCCTTTTAGCAGGTTTATATATAAATCCTGAGACACAGAACCATCTGTAAAGGTACAATAGTGTGGTTTGTCCAGTGGCAAAATCACTTGAAGGGGTTACTTATTGCTTGTTCATTTCTGTGAATTAAACTGCGGGTGTGACATTGCCCTGATTGGCAAAAGTGAAATTAATTTGGTTTAAAAGACCCCTAGTTAGAGGAAGTTTTTAATCCACCGCGAGGAATGTAACTGGCATACCTAATACCTAAAGCAAATGTAAACTTGCAGCACCCAGGCTGCAGTGGGAACGTCTTAGGGCTGGAGAAAACAAGAGTAATTGCATCCATCGCTTGCTGTACTTCCCCTCTCTCGGCATCATCCCTGTAGGCAAAGCACTCAGATAGCAGAAACCTAGTTCTGTTTCCCTGGAAATCTGCTGGTTCTGTTCCACCTTCTCACCTCCCACTGTTAGGTGTGTGCCCTCCTCTCTGCAAGCGTACGGTATTTTGCACCAGAAACCGAAGCCTTATGAGGATAATAGAAAACTTAGTGCCATGACTTTCTTACTGAGTGGAGTTTAGTAACAGTCTTTGGTTTCTGGCAGACAGCTGAAATAAGAATCAGTTTTAAAATACCTTTTTTTTAATGTCTAAATTCAAGTTCTTATCTTAATATAATTTAGCATTAGTCTTGAACTTTTTTTTTAATGTCTAAATTCAAATTCTTATGTTTTCTTAATATAATTTAGCATTAGTCTTGACAAGTGGTGAGAATAACGGAAGCATCATGACGTGCAGTCCAGTTTGCAGAATAAAAAACACACACAAAAATTAAAAGAATTTGAATCTGATTTTTGTATAAAATATAAAGACAAATGGTAAGTTTAGTTTTGGCAAAATGCATGCTTTGTAGATTGAGTAACTTTTCTTGTTTTTAAAGGAAATGACCGTGCTTGGAAAGCCTAAAAGACCTCGTAGCGGCTTTAACATTTTTGTGTCAGAAAACTTTCAAGAAAGTGAGGGGATTTCACCTGCGGTAAGCTAGGAAAGATTGTTCTTTAAAATAGATTGATTGTATTCAGAAAATCTGTTTTTGGATTCTGTGACTTTCAAGGACACTGTTCAACAGTTCATTATCTGGATTTTGCTTTGCTTAGGTTGGGGTTTTTTTAGGCTCTGGTGAACTTCTGGCTGTAGTGCTGGTGGCATGTCCTATATAAACTGCTGTGTGGGTATACAGACTTAAAATATTTGCACTGTTTATTGCACTTCAGCGTTACAGACTTCCATCTGTTCCTTCTGTGAAAATTCTACTTTTCTTCATTGTGGTGTAGAAATACGTTAGTTTTTCAAATGGTTGTGCTGGTCTGCTACCGTTTCTGTAGCAGTGCTGCACTTTGGGGTGATTTAAGTTATGTTGGTGGATTGCTGCACTCGAAGCGCTGAAGACCTCCCCCTGTGTGCCTAATTAATACGTTCCTTACCCCGTGCATTTAATCAGCAAATCAGGGTGGTGGAAAGAAAAAAACAAGGAACAAACCATGCACAGGGCAGGCGTCTCCAGTCAGCTGAGGCCCAGTTTGACACACACGTGGCAAAATACTCCCGAGGTGGTACAAAGTTTCCTGTGAACATGGTTAATACTCCGGTGGGCTTGGCTTAGGTTAGGGCTGGGTTTAAATGAAACCAGTACGCGCGGTGAGATGCGATCAGGTTGCTGTAAACCAGCTCAGCTGTTCTGTCTGTCCGCTTTTGCAGGCTAAGTAACTTCAACTGCTACGTGCTTATATTATCTGTAAGTGCGGCTCAGATGATGCCCAGCAACATGTTGAACTGCGTCATTTGTTATTTACCGACATTAAGAGAGTTGGGTATTAAGCCCACTTGCCTTCGTGCTTTTTTTCCATTGGTTTATACTTCGCTTTTACTAGCGTGGCATTCATCTCTAACCCTCTGTGGTCAGTCTGCTGTTAAAATAATCCTAATGTATTGCATATTCTATATCCTGTAGGCAAAGCTGAAACAATTATTCGATGCATGGCGAAAACTGTCCAGTACTCAGAAGCAGGTACGTCAGTGGATTTCGATGAGGCTCTGATCTCATTGGAAAATGACCAACTTGAGTCAAAATTACGCAAAATCTTGAACTTGGTTGTTCAAAATATAATACTGAAGAAAATACTCATTACTTTTATTCCAGTAGTGACCATTTCTTTCAAAGTGTTGATGAAACGTGAGTGCGTCGGATAGGATGGAGGTTCTATATGCCTGGAAATGGATTTGGAGTGGCATCTAGGGAGGAAGCTGGAATAATTTGCAACCATTTGATTTTTTTCTAGTAATATATAATATTTTAAATGCCAGCATAGTAATTTGCTGCTCAAGGAAAGGCTTTTGACAGGCAAAAGCAACAGAATTCTATCTTGGGGATAGTTATTCTTTCTTGGGGTATTGAAATACGAACCTGCAGATGCCCAAACCACAACATGTGTACATGAAAATATATGCTGATACAGAATAAACCTCCAAATTTTCAAGTGTTAGGTACTTTTCCGTCCCCTCTCCTGAATGCCCTTCTAGATTGTTTTGAATGTGCACTTAGAACATGCACTAGATCCATGTTCTTTCTGCAAGAAAGAAAAAATTGAAGCAGTTGTGCAGAAATATCTATTCCTGTTCCTTACCTAAGCCAGCTCTCTCAAGGCAGTACTCCAAAAGCCTTAGCTGTTAGGAATAATATTGAATAAATTTCCTCTTCAGGAACGAAAGGTTTTGTATTTTTGTGCAAGTTTGATGTTTGTTTTTTTTTTAATTTGCTGGAGGTGAAAGTGAACACCTGGGATGCTGTTATGGTTTGAGGAACCCACAACAATTTATTGTCATTTAGACAATTAGTCTATTACCCAGTGACCCCTCTGTACCCGGGAAGGGGAATCGGGGAAAAACAAGGAAGCCTGAGGGTTGAAATATAAACAGTTTTAATAGAATAAGACTACATAATTAACAATAATAATACTAAAGAACCAGTATTGATCCCAATAGCAATATAAAATCTACCAGGATTATACTCAGCCCATTTTATCAGTAGGAAGCTGTGGACTCCGAGCAGGGGACAGCAGATGTGGGACACTGTGAGCGCTATGGCTATGGGAGGAAGGGGAAGGGCTCAGGGCTCCCGCACCGGGGCAAAAAGTTCTCTGGATCACTGCCATCAAGGGAGAAAGAGAACTCCTCAGCAAACTTTCTAATTTATATTGAATGTGATGTTCATAGTACAAAATAATCTTGTTGACCAGCTTGGGTCAAGTGCCCGGGTCTCGTTCCTCCTCATCCCTGCACCTGGTGAGCTTGATAACACTGAGACCTTGAAACCCACACACCATAGCTGGCTATAAAGTAAATATTTTCACAAATTCAGACACTACAGTTTTCTAAAAGTGCAGTTTTTCCAGGCATTAGAAGACAAATCAGTCCTGTGTTGCTCAAACCAGGACAGATGTGCACTGCACAGGTCTGGTTGCCTTTGTAGCAAAGGGAGGGATGTGACGTGGCAGTTATCCTGACAAAGCCCCTTCCGTAACTGTTGGTACCTGGTTTTCTTCCAGCCATACCTGCAGCTCGCTGAAGACGATAAGGTTCGGTACGAGAATGAAATGAAGTCATGGGAAGCAAAAATGGTTGAACTGGGACGCGAAGACCTGATACGTTCCAGAAAGCAAAAGCCAAAAAAGAGTACTGCTGAAACCGGAACGGCCAAGGCTTCCTCACATGAAAGCAAGGTGAAATCAAAGTTGAAAAAATCAGAGGAATAAAACGGTTAAGTATTTTATATTGAATCCCCTATGGTTGTCATGTCTTTATCCTGCTGTGTTAATGCTGCAGTCAGCGTTAGCACTGAAATTTGGAAACCCTACAAAGGGCCCGTTGGAGAAGTAGAAGAGGAGGTGATCAGGTAGGAGAGAATTCAGCGTCTCTCGGAAGCAACTGAAGTAATCGTGGCAGGGGTGGCCTCGGCTGTCCCACAATAACCGGTTAATCAAGCTGTGAATAGTGATACTGACATCAGCAGAGCTCTCTGGTAATGGTAGATAACAGCTAGCTTTTATAAGATTTTTTTTTTTTATGAAAGCCAGAATATTCTACAACATCACCATCTAAATTCTGTAAATAAGAGCTGGAGTCTGACTTGAAGCTGCTGTGTTTTTATTCCCTCCATGGTATCAGTTGTGAAGAGAAATGTTCTACATTTCAACAAAAGGCACAAGAAATGTAAAATGCTAACTTTTATTTTATGCATCTGTCCTTTTCTTTTGTACGTATCAATCTCTGTATACCACTTCTGGTGCATTTAATTAAAGACCGTATGAGTTTTGTATAAATGTATCTTTATTGGGCTTTTATTCCATGGTTTTGCTTGGATACATGCAAACACTTTTGCCTTCCTGTTGTCACATTTGAGAGTGCCTGGAGGGAAAAAAACGTGTGAATTGTTAGAATTTTGGGTTTTGATGGAATAAATACAGGTATTTTGAAGAGCTGCTTCTTTTTTTCCCTGGGGTCTGTGTGTCATAACAGAAGTCTTACAGGTATTTTGGAGAATCTGTATTTTTAGAAGGCGGGCGAGCAGTGGATTTCATCCATCCTGAATGACTCACAAACACCTTGCTTACTCGTGGGAAGTGGAAAGCCAAATTGGAGTCCTTTGCCTTTTTTTTTTTTTTCCCTTTCTTTTTTTTTGTAAATTTACTGATGGTAACTGCATGTGAGCACTCCTGGCTTCCTTCCTTCGCAGGAGAACACACCACTGAGCTCACAGGCAGGAGGCTGTTCCTCAGCAGAAGGTTCCCAGCAGGTCCCTGAGGGGGAGCGATGCGAATCCAAATGGCTGTAACTTACCCAGGTGTGTAGGAAGGTCGGGGGG